AAAGATTGTCCTCCACAGTTGTCTTATAATTGTGATGTAGCTGTGTATCTAGCGTCAAGCTAGTATGTCAGTCTGCTACGATTGAACTTCCATAGACCTTTTAAGCTGTTATTAATCTTACGTTCTACGTGAGATCAGACGGTGTTTCGTTGACTCAAGGATATTGGAAAACCGTCATATTCTACCGGGATACATTATGTCGTCGAGATTGTTTTCGGATGCTGGTACTGAACGTCTTGATGATGCTGAAATTATGGAACTTGCTCGACGGTTTGCTCATCTAAGGTTGTCTGATCCTCCTCATGCTGCTCGGTCCGATATCGCTCACAGCAACGTCTCGTGTTATTCGTTCCTGCGATCACTTATTTCACCTCGTCGGTCTCGTAATTCTGGTTCACAAAGTGATCCAGGTGTTGTGCCTCCATCGCTAAATGTCTCTCATAGAAGTGGTCTCCGTGCCAATGATGTTTCGCCAGCTCCTCCATCAGTGCCTATAACTACAGTACTTGATGGAGATACTCCTGTTGTTTCTGGTGGAGTACCATCTCAAGTACAATCGTTAGGGTTCTCTGCGTTGGAATTGGAACGGTTCCACGATTCTGCCCAGAAGCGTGCTAATAATGCGGTTCTACCGGTTGGTGGCAAGTATAAGGGCTATGCCGATACTCGTACTATTGAAGCTTTCTTACAACAAGTGCATCGTAAATATGGCTTTCTCCACTTTACGTGAAGTGTCCAACCTACGTAATGGTCGCCTGGAGAATGTCAGTCCATTGCACGAACTATTCGAAGTCCTAACTGACTCGTCCTAGCTCGAATACGACTCTGTGCTCTCGCTTCCGACCGATATTCAACCCTTCCCTCGGGACACAACGCCAACTAGGCTGAGCCAAAGCTGCTATTCCTGCCCACTCGGATCCCTACTCATGCCCACTAGGGCGACACCTTGAGTTAGCATAGTGTAGGCCCATTCCAGATCGGCTGCATGTCAGTCCATTGCACGAACTATTCCAAGTCCTAACTGACTCGTCCTAGCTCGAATACGACTCTGTGCTCTCGATTCCGATCGATATTCAACTCTTCACCCGGGACACAACGATAACTAGGCTGAGCCAAAGCTGCTATTTCTGCCCACTCGTGTCCCTACTCATGCCCACTAGGGCGACACCTTGAATTAGCATAGTGTAGGACCATTCCAGATCGGCTGCATGTCAGTCCATTGCACGGACTATTCGAAGTCCTAACCGACTCGTCCTAGCTCGAATAGGGCCGCATTAGCCGAACGAGGAGCTTGGGCGCGCAGAAAAAATCTTGGGCCAGAGGGAGAAAATCTTGGGCGGGCGGAAGAAAATCTTGGGCCAGAGGGAGAAAATCTTGGGCGCGCGAGAGTCTCTCGCCGAGAGACGAGGGTTCGAGACAGAGAGGCGAGGCATTGCGTGAGTCCGACTTGTCGTCTAGACTTTTCTCAGCACTGCCATCTGATTTGAAGGAGCGTGTTATTTGGTTATGTGGTCCTTGTCCCTCCTATGAAGAATTGCTCAACTTTGGTAGAAGAATGAACTTGGTTTATGTGAGAAGAAAGGAGGAGAAGGTTAATGGTGTTCGAGGCCCCCTTCGGAAGGCTGCAGTTAATGTTGTTAATGATGTTAGTGAAGGTTTACCAGTTATGCCAATTGAGGAGGGTGTTGATGCGAAAACTACTACTACTACTACTGGTGTCCAGACTAACTGCAAACTATTCGTCAGCAATCTGAGTTATGACGTGAATGAGAAGCAAGTTCTGGATGCGTTGAGAGCTGTTTTGAAGTTGTCTGGTGTAATACCTGTATCGGTGAGGTTGTTTCGTGATCGAGACACTGGTCGTAATAGAGGTTTGGGTCTAATCGAGTTTCGTGATCCTAGCAGTGCGAAGAAAGCTCTATCGCTAAATGGTAAACGATTACTTGGTCGTTCTATTAGAGTTAGACCCGATAATGGTGGTCAAGGTGTCAAACGTCGACGTGTTGAAGATGATCAAGATGCACAAGCAGGGAATGAGGTGGTTCAGCAGCAGCGTGATGTTCAGGTTGCGGCTGTCGAGCAGGAGGACATTGTAGAAGACCCTTGCGAAAGCTCACCCAAGGAGTCCTCAGAAACAGCTTATGTCGTTCAGACCACTGTTGAAGAGGTTAACGTTGGTGTTGTGAACTCATCGGCTGAGCCTAGTATTGTTATTGATCTACGACGTATTAATACACAAAATGGAGGGAATTGCCCGTTAACGACAATTCACACGGAAGTAGTCCCTAATCCTGATGATCCTGCTGACTGCCATACTCTCGACTGGTTGCTAGATAGTGGTTATGCGGTCCATCTTATTTCTGATTCAGAAGCTGGTTGGTTGGGATCTGCTAGAGTTATCCCTCTGCCTTCTCCGATTAAGCTCTCTTTTGCCAATGGTACTACTCAATTAGTACATGAGGCAAGAGAATTAAGCCTCTGTTGTGATGGTCAGAAGTTCAACACTACTGTTTTGCTGGTACCAGGTTTAGCTGTTCCAGCAATATTGAGTCTTCACCAACTGGTGCATGACTTTGGTTCAGTAGCCTGGCACCTTTTGGCTCCGGGTGAAGAAGTTCTACGATTAGGGCATGATGTTACTCTGAGATCTACTAGTAATGAACTTTCACTTGATGCAGTGGGGTCCGTGAACGCTGTCGTGAACGCCGTTCCTTCCTTAGCTTTTGTGTCATCCTTTCCTGATGAAAAGTTTTCTCACTGTAGTTTGCGGAGTCTACGAGAAGCCTACCAGGAGAAACAAGTAGTTGACTTGGAATCTAAAGCTGTTACTGTAGATGTGGTGAATGCCCGTTCTCTTCAGCCTCACACTACTGGTCGTGATGACCGTCCTCCTATCGCTGTGGATTTTGTGGCTGATGCCAAAGGAGATCAGCGAGCTCGTGTATCATTGCCATGGCTGTCAGGCCAAAGGCCTAACAGTAAGTTACATTCCCTTCGACGTGATGTTGCTATTGCTCGTGATGTCGCTACTAGACGAAAGTTAGCTGCAATGGGACCCGAGTGGGTGGTGCTTTTGAAGAAAGAAGTTGCCAATATGGTTGCTCAGGGTCATATTTGGGAGCTCACTGAAGAAGAATTGGCGGCAGATCCGCCAATGATGGCTGCTGTCACGGCAATTCGAGAAGGTCACCCTACCCAACCTGTGCGGGTAACAGTTGATGCGAGACCGGTTAATCGTTTCCTAAGTGCTGGGGACACGTCTAGTCTTCGTCGAGCTCTGCGTAGTATACTTCTCCGTTGGAGATTGAGTCCATGGGTCTCTTGGGACGACGTAACTCGTGCCTTTTTGCAGATATGTCTGCATAAACACGATGAGGTGATGCTTAATGTATGGACCTGCCGAAGAGGATATAGGTGTTGCAGACTTCCATTCGGCCTTTCGCCGAGTCCGGCATGCCTATCTGCTGCCATAAAGGCCATTCGTGAAGCTGTGAAGGTATTCCGTGAGTATATGGATGATCTGCTCTATAATGCCTGGTGTGTGACGAAGTTGTTGGAACGCCGCTCCCTGGGAAGAGCAGTGTTGTATGAACAAGCTCATATGGAGTGTCAGCCCAGTAAGTCGATACTCGGTGGAGACCCTCAGTATCGCTTTGAGGCTCTGGATATAGGGGTTAATGACGAGGTCACTTATAAGACTGTCACGCAACTTGGTTACCTTTGGGATACTGTGACTGACACTGTTTGCCCTAGGACAATAGATGTTGGTTCAGATATTCCATCAACAAGAAGACTATGTTTTCAAGTCCTAAGCCGGTTTTATGATCCTCTTGGTACCAATATTGAATATTCGGCTCGGCAACGCTATCTACTACATAAGTCAGCATCTACTACTGAGCATTGGGATTCACAAGATCTTTCACAGTCAACTGCTTTGGAAGTGAGTGCTCTATGCTCTGTGAAGCCCTGTTCTCAACCACGCTTTGTCGATATTCGGAAGGGCTTGGTAGTGTTCTGTGATGCCGCTGGTAGTGGCTGTATATGTGCCGACGCTCGTGGTGTTGCTGATGGTCGTCGTCTAGCGGCTCGTCAAAAGACATTGAATTCTAAGTGGACTATAGCAAGGCTTGAACTTTGTGCACTTCGTTTGGGGGTGTCGTTGCTTGATGATATCTGCGAGGAGTTAGATGTGCTTACGGAAGATGGTTATGCTCCCCCTCAGGTCTGGCTCCTTACGGACTCTCAGCTCAATTGTTGGCGTTTGAGACGTTCGGAAGCCTATGACGCCAAGTATTTATCAGCGTTTGAGCGACGTCGGGTGCAAGACATTCGTTCTGGTCTTACTCGATTAGCGGAGTCTCTGGATTGCCCCGTGAGGTCTGGTCATGTAGTGGGTAGATTGAATCCGGCTGATCGGGCTACACGACCCGATAGGGGTCTACAAGAGAAATTGGAGCTTAGTGGCTCAGAGATGGATGATATATTACGGTCGGTTACTACTGTGGCTCTGTTTCCTGGCCAAAAGGATTCCAATGGTGGAGATGAGCACTTGGGTATTTCAGAAGATGATGAACTTGACTTGATGATGGGTGATGATGAGGATTTGACGGTAGTACTAGCAGCAGCAGTTCAGCTGCACAAAGATGTTCCTGATCCTCCTGAAGATCCAGAACTGCAATGGTCTATTAAGGTTTCCCAAGTTGCTATTCCGAGTCTGCGGTTGACACTCGACAAGATTGCCAGTGGTAAAGATGTCCCGGGTTTTGAAACTCGGAATGGGTTATTATGTAAGGTTGGTAATGTTGCTCTCGATGATACCAATCGTGGGAGTTGTGCTATATCCCAGATTGTTATTCCTAATGCTGACGACATTGTCGTCACGACAACCTACAACATATGGTGGCAATGAAAGTTCATGATCAACATGCTGGACATCCGGGTCGTGTTACGTTGCTACGCTGGATATGGAGACATTATTATTGGCAGCATATGGATAAGACCGTGAGGCGTATTAATGATCACTGTGTTGGTTGCCAGAGTCGTCGTATTGCTGCCAACCGCCGTCGTGCACTTTCATCGCGTCCTCCACCATGTAGTGTCCAGTATGGTCCCTTTGCCATCGCATATTTTGATAGTATCGGTCCTTATAAGCTATGTCGGTCTGAGGAGTCGAATGGTACTATACCTCCCTTGTATGAATTTACTCTCTGTTGCCACTCTAGTAAGTTTATCAAAGTTGTCCCCTCTGATACTAAGTCAGGCTGGGCTGCAGCACAAGCCCTTCATCAGATGCTCTGTGATGAAGGTGTGGTTAGACTTTTAGTTGTCGATCAAGGTCTACTGACGAAGGAAGTGATTGGTGTTGCCAAGGATTGGAATTTTATGGTTATCCCGTCACCACCTCGGGGGGAGGAACTCCGTGGATGGGGTGAACGAGGCCATCGAGATCTTCATGCTGTGCTTCGTGGTGCGCTTTGGAGCCTTGGTAAGACTCCTACGAGGAACGAGTTCATACGTTTGCTGTCCCGTGCAACAGCTGTGGTTAATACTACTCCGTACGTCGACTCTTCACCACTCTCTCCAGCTATCGTTTGTCGTGGTCATACGAGAACTCCATCAGATCCGTTTGCTTTACAGGAGTCTCGTGAGATTAAGGATGCTGTTCTACACCTTTTAAATCTCAAATTCAGCAAATGAAAGAACAAATTAGAGAAATGGAATTTGATTTTAGTCAGATGAAAGGAGTTTTTCACCGAATGAAACTTCAAATTCGAAATGAAAGTTCGATTTTCGTAGACCACTCAAAAATGAAGGTTCAAATTCGTAAATGAAATTTATGAATTCGGAAACACAAGTTGAAATTCATCAAACACAAGACCAATTTCGACCAATGAAAGCTCATTTTCATGACGCCTCGAAATGCACTATTCACACTACACGCACTTGCACCACATCTCGATATGCGCTATTCACACTCCACGAGTTGACAACTCGCACAATGTGCGAAGATTGCTCGAGGTACTTCTCAAATGTGAACAGTTATTGCACTGAGTGAGATTCCCGGGTAGTTCTCCGGAACGTTGTGTCATAATGTGACCGTCACATGGGTCCGTCGGACCGTCGGTCCGGGACCGATGTAGCCCGTCGAAGCCCGAACTTTTCGTAGAGGGTTGGTCCGGTTCGGTATTCGGTCGGTCAAAGTTCGGTTCGGCGGTCAGGAAATCGAACCGAACATGTGCTGACCCCATCGTCCTTCCGATATCATCGGAAGGGTAATGGAGATTCTCCATGGGAGAATCAAACCCAAACAATCTCCCGGTTCGAATCTCTGAAAATCCTTCATTGTAAGTTTTTGAATTGCACTGTACTGTTCAGCATTACGGTGCAGCCCGTAGAGCACCATCAGCACTCGCAATTTGCGAGTCGCAAGTCGATCCGTGGCACGACGCTGACGAGAATTTCCTTCCATCGAATGAAAGTGAGCTTTCATTGATCGAAATTGGTCTTGTGTTCGACGAATTTGAACTTGCGTTTCCGAATTCATAAATTTCATTTACGAATTTGAACTTTCGTTTTCGACCGGTCAACGAAATTCTAACTTTCATTTCGAATTTGAACTTTCACTTCGCGAAAAACTCCTTTCACTCGTCGAAAATTAAATTTCATCCATCTAATTTGTTCTTTCAATTGTTGAATTTGAGATTGAAAAGGTGTAGAAGGGTTAGAACCACCAAGTTGGTGGGATGATATGACTGCTGATGCGGCATCAGTGATGCCTATATGAGTGAAGTTCAAGATGGTAAAGATATAACCCTTCGAGAGTTGGCTGATGTTTGGTGGTTGCGTCGACGTGCTGTTCGCGAAAAGTTGTTGTCTCGTAACGCTCGTCATGCTGGTCGTGGGTTAAAGGTTGGTTGTAAGGCATATCGTTGGAGGCCTATGATCGGTCAGTTTGGTAAACTTAATACTGGCTGGGAACCATGCACTATTCTCGCTGCCCCAACGGATAGTACAAGGAAGGTTAAACTGGAAGATGGCAAGGAAACTATTGAGTCTGTTCTGAAATTCAGATCGTAGATAGCTATCTGATAGCAAGTCTCCAGCACGTAGATTCAGAATCTGAATCTACGTGCTGGTCCTAGTGACTAGCACGGGCGGGAGTGTGCTGGATTCAGCATGTACGGATTTTGATAATGAGTAGTTAGAATGTTGTAGTCACTCGAAGACACAAAAGATTGTCCTCCATAGTTGTCTTATAATTGTGATGTAGCTGTGTATCTAGCGTCAAGCTAGTATGTCAGTCTGCTACGATTGAACTTCCATAGACCTTTTAAGCTGTTATTAATCTTACGTTCTACGTGAGATCAGACGGTGTTTCGTTGACTCAAGGATATTGGAAAACCGTCATAATCAGAGCACTTTAATCGGCTCCAGGAGTACTCGACATCACCTCAGCACCGGAAGAGCATGCGGAGCTAGCAGAGCTTGAGTAATCATTGTCCTCGTCGAGACAGCTGTTGAGAGTACGTTATAGAGCTCACGGTCCAATAGCTCCAAGTAGGAAAAGCCGAAAGTAATGGTTCTATCCGATTCAGACAGGACGACGGTGTGGCATAAGTCGCTCCTTCCTTCCACCTCTGCTCCAGCCAATGGTATCGGTAGAACGTTACAGCCCAGCAAGCTGGATCGTGAACGCCTGTTGGCGTAAGTTGCTCTCCAATGCAGCCGGATGCTCATCATTCGACCTCCGATTCTCGATAACATCGCCGCTTCTTTGACCCAGACGGAGTGGCGCCCATCGTTTTTCCTGCTGCCTCTATCAATACGATAGAGGCCAGCAGCATCGCGGTGTACAAGAATTGCCTGATCCTCGCGAACGTCTGACAGGCAGTCAGCATGGCTTAGAACGCCGCGAAGGGCGGCCCAAAACGGGGGATCAATTAGTGGGCAGCCAATGGTACCTTCCCTTGGCAGACCATTAGCATCTGTATCACCGGGATCAGCACATACTGAACACTCTAGATCCAGCTCCCAGAAACTCCTCGCCCCCTCCATGAGACGCTGACGCAATACGTCACCCGATGGTATGTATCGCCGAGCATTCTTGCGTAAGACCTCCTTAATTATTTTCTCCCCATCTTTGTGCGTTTGCAATCTCCGTGCTTGAAGTCGTTCAATGCCCCCTGGATCGGAGATGTACATGGCATCGGAGATCTTACGGCAGAATCTACCGAATTGCCGATGATTTTGACTGACCGACCGTGTCAGTCTGAACATCGCATGTAAAGCATCTAATTTGATGATGACTTTATCACATTGGACAGCTGATCTTATAAGCTCTGCATTATTCAAACCTTCCGTTTGACAACATCCCCGGTCTACATATACATTTAAAACAGACGGCACCCGTCCTCTCAACTCCTTTAGTGCTTCTGCAACATGCGCCAAACTCGTGTCTAGGACGAAGATAATGTTGAGTATATACCCACTATCGGCTGTTATACAGACCAAGTATGTGCTTTCTTGTCCGGAAAGTCGAGAGCCAATGGCTCTGTGATGGTCGAGGGCGAGGAGGCTGTGCACACGATATGCAGCCATCTCTCAGAGAGATGGCTGCATAGAGTCCTCCGCACACGGGTGCAGAGAGATTCTCTCTACATGAAGACTCCTTATTATTGTGGTAGTCAACAACCATCAACTGCTTAGCAACATGATATGTGAGACGTGCTTCTGGGAGAGGTATTAAAATATCGGAGTTCCATTATTCACCAAATTCAGTAGAGTGCCAGATCTATACTTGTTCCGCACCTGCTCAAGCACCGCCCTCCGTCGGGAAATATTTCCCATCATCAAACCATTATAGGTCTCACACTCTCGGCTTATCAAACCGCCGTTTCGAAGAGCATAGGCACTAGTCTTCGCTACAATAGTATGCGTACTAACGATCACATACTGGTCTTCGAAAGTACCTCGTACAGATCGTGGCAGGCTCCGCAGATACTCTTCCTTGAGTGAGCTAAAGGAAGCTTGACATTTTGAGCACTTCTGGCGAGTGCTGTAGAGTGTTGATACAGTACCATCGCTCTCGATAACAGCCTTAGGACTCCGGACCTCTTTAGTGCTGTTGATGGAGACAGCACCACAAGAAGGACACGTTCCTCCCGAAGGTAGAAATAGGAGCAAATCTCTGCCATTAAGATTATGGATGAGCGTCTTCAGACTCCCCGTTCGTTGCCACTCTCGGTAAGCTTCATCAGTCGATAAGGACCGTATCCGATAAAACGCCGGACGCTCCGTATCGAGGCCATCACGCTTGCTGACAATGTTATGCAAATCACCGACCGATCGTATGTTGCTATCCCAACGCAGTTGAGATATCACACCATCCTGCTCACTAGCCGATCCTGGCCCCGTGAGGCGCAGCAAGTCAGAGCGGGCTGGCGGAGTAGCTTCCTGACAACACTTCGAGGTGTTAGAGCTCACCGGCCATTTCTATTGATCAATAATCAGAGATTGAAGATACAGGCCTCACCTTCGAGACTGCTCCAGCGCTGCATGACGACACATTTGCAATCACAGGCTTCTCGGAGACTGCGTGGCTCGCATGGCTTGACATAGCATTACCCATAGCCTGGATGAAGAGATTCCAAATCGGAATTTGCAATACACGAGTTCCTCATTGAGTTATTACAGTATCATTCACTTCTGGGTCGTCGTCTCCCTGTATTAGGACTTCAACTCCCTCGCTATCATTGTCTACAAGGTAGGGATTGCGCATGAGATAGGAATCACATGCGCATTAGGTCTATCCTGAATATGCAAAACATGAGATAGGGCGCGCGGCTACGCCGCGCGCTATCAGGATACGTGAGCGGAATTCGGATTGCTCAGGTACAGCCGTTGGTGCGC